TCACGGACCAGGCAAGGAGGGCATTAATCAGAGAGGCCACAAAGAGACCAAAGATAACCCTGAAGGAGCTGCAAAGCTCCACAGTAGAGATTGGAGTATCTGTCCATAGGACCACTTTAAGCCGTACACTCCACAGAGCTGGGCTTTACGGAAGAGTGGCCAGAAAAAAGCCATTGCTTAAAGACGTTTTGGTGTTCGCCAAAAGGCATGTGGGAGACTCCCCAAACATATGGAAGAAGGTACTCTGGTCAGATGAGACTAAAATTGAGCTTTTTGGCCATCAAGGAAAACGCTATGTCTGGCGCAAACCCAACACCTCTCATCACCCTCGAGAACACCATCCCCACAGTGAAGCATGGTGGGAGCAGCATCATTGTCACACCCTGGCTCGGGGACTCTATATGTTGAGCCAGGGTGTGTTCATTCTATGTGTTTATTTCTATGTTGGTAGTTCTGTTGTGTTTATTTCTAGGTTGGCCAGAGTGACTCCCAATCAGAGGCAACGAGTGTCAGCTGTCGTTGGTTGTCTCTGATTGGGAGCCATATTTAAACTGTCTGTTTTCCCTTTGTGTTTGTGGGTTCTTGTTCCAGTTGGTCATTGTTACCGTTGGACGTTACGAGTCGTTTATTGTTTTGTTGGTTGTGTATGTTATCACTGAAGATAATAAATACCATGTTCGTTCAACATGCTGCGCATTGGTCTCTCCCTGACGATCGTGACAGAAGAACCCACCAAGTAAGGACCAAGCAGCGTGTCCCGGGGCAGAACTTGGACTGGACATGGGAGGAAGCGCCGGGAGAGGCCCTGGCGAAAGAGGAGCAGCGGCGTCAGCAGTGTCAACGTCGGACAGGCGAGAGGCAACCCCAGAAAATTGTTAGGGGGGGGGCACACGGCATGGACGACGGGGCTGACGGAGGCAGAAAAGGGGCGGATTCAGAAGGCCACCAGGTTACGGGGGCCACTGGTCAAAGCAGGGAAGGAAGGTGTAGAGGCACGGCGAGAGGTACTGGGGTGTCTTACCAGTCCGGTCCGGCCCGTTCCAGATCCCGAGGTAGAGCCAGTGGTGTGTGTCCCCAGTACGGTCCGGCCTGTTCCGGCCCCTCGCACCAAGACTACGGTGCGCGTCGCCAGCCCGGCCCGGCCTGTCCCTGCTCCACGCACCAAGTTTACGGTGCGCGTCGCCAGCCCGGCCCGGCCTGTTCCTGCCACTCGCACCAAGTCTACGGTGCGCGTCGCCAGCCCGGCCCGGCCTGTTCCTGCCACTCGCACCAAGTATATGGTGCGCATCGTCAGCCCGGCCCGGCCTGTTCCTGCCACTCGCACCAAGTCTACGGTGCGCGTCGCCAGCCCGGCCCGGCCTGTTCCTGCCACTCGCACCAAGCCAGGGGTGCGAGTCGTCTGCCTGGTCCGGCCCGTTCATACTCCACGCACCAAGCCAGGGGTGCGAGTCGTCAGCCTGGTAAGGCCCGTTCCTCCTCCACGCACCAAGCCAGGGGTGCGAGTCGTCGGCCTGGTAAGGCCCGTTCCTCCTCCACGCACCAAGCCAGGGGTGCGCGTCGTCAGTCCAGCACGGCCCGTGCCTGGGTCACCGGTGCCGGTCAACTGCTCCACTACGGAGCTGAAGCTAACCGCTCCTGCTAAGTCCAGTTCAGCTCCAGCCAGCGGGGCCAGACTGGACCAGGGGCGCTATGGGGGGTTTATTGGAGGGTGGTGGGCAAGGCCGGAGCCAGAACCGCCGCCGAGGAGGTATGCCCACCCAGCCCTCCCCTGTTTTGTTTCAGGTTGAGGCGCGGTCGCAGTCCGCGCCTTTAGGGGGGGGGTACTGTCACACCCTGGCTCGGGGACTCTATATGTTGATCCAGGGTGTGTTCATTCTATGTGTTTATTTCTATGTTGGTAGTTCTGTTGTGTTTATTTCTAGGTTGGCCAGAGTGACTCCCAATCAGAGGCAACGAGTGTCAGCTGTCGTTGGTTGTCTCTGATTGGGAGCCATATTTATATATGTTGTCTCTGATTGGGAGCCATATGTCTGTTTTCCCTTTGTGTTTGTGGGTTCTTGTTCCAGTTGGTCATTGTTACCGTTGGACGTTACGAGTCGTTTATTGTTTTGTTGGTTGTGTATGTTATCACTGAAGATAATAAATACCATGTTCGTTCAACACGCTGCGCATTGGTCTCTCCCTGACGATCGTGACAATCATGCTGTGGGGATGTTTTTCCATTGGCAGGGACTGGGAAACTGGTCAAAATTGAAGGAATGATGGATGGCACTAAATACAGGGAAATTCTTGAGGGAAACCTGTTTCAGTCTTCCAGAGATTTGAGATTGGGACGGAGGTTCACCTTCCAGCAGGACAATGACCGTAAGCATACTGCTAAAGCAACACTTGAGTGGTTTAAGGAGATACATTTAAATGTCTTGGAATCGCTTAGTCAAAGCCCAGCCCTCAATACAATTGAGAATCTGTGGTATGACTTAAAGATTGCTGTACACCAGCAGAACCCATCCAACTTGAAGGAGCTGGAGCAGTTTTGCCTTGAAGAATGGGCAAAAATCCCAGTGGCTAGATGTGCCAAGCTTATAGAGACATACCCCAAGAGACTTGCAGCTGTAATTGCTGCAAAAGGTGGCTCTACAAAGTATTGACTTTGGGGGTGAATAGTTATGCACGCTCAAGTTTTCTGTTTTTTTGGTCTTATTTCTTGTTTGTTTCACACCCAAAATGTTTTGGCATCTTCAAAGTGCTAGGCATGTTGTGTAAATCAAATGATACAACCCCCCCCCAAAAATCAATTTTAGTTACAGGTTGTAAGGCAACAAAATATAAAAAATGCCAAGGGGGTGAATACATTCGCAAGCCACTGTAGATGTTGTGTTTATTTATTTTTTATATTTAAAATGAGAGTTCAGTTCACGTAACAGGGTTGACCTTAAAATGAGGGACACTCATAAATGAATCACTAATCAACCACATTAAATAAATTATAATCTTCAGAAATGACTTTGTCAAAGCAACAAAATAACTAAGGCGTTAGAATTATGGTGGCATTTTTGGATTAATTGGGTTGAAATCTTCATAGAAGTGACACAGGGTTGAAGGAGGCACATGTCAAAATGCTGAATTTTGGCACTTTAGCAAGCCTTTCTTTATTCATATTAAAATTCAGATTTATTGAATTCTCCCATGTGATCTTAATTAAAGGCACTTTATTTAAAATAACATGCTTTTACAATTCAATAGTGTTGTACAATTTCTACTTAAAATATCAAAGGGACACAAAAGGCACTTTTCGTGGAACAACCCTGTTATGAACAACAACAAATATCAAGAAGGTATTTATGGATTAAAGGTCCAATGCAACTGTTTTTATCTCAATATCAAATAATTTCTGGGTAACAATTAAGTACCTTACTGTGATTGTTTTAAATTAAAATTGTAATTAAAAGAAACAAAATAGCTTCTTAGCAAAGGGCAATTTCTCAAGCAAGAATTTTGTTAGGACTGTCTGGGATTGGTCTGAGTGGGGAGGGGAAAACTGTTATTGGCAGAGAGGTTTGGAACTCTCATTCTGATTGGTCTATTAACTAATTTACCACATGGTGATGTCACCATGGAAGGCCAAAACTCCATCCCACCAAAACAGGCAGAAATTTCAGGCGGTCTTTTCAAACAGCTCTTACACTAAATGGGCATTATTAATAATCATTTTCAGAATTGCACAGTATTCCTCTAACCTCATAGTGTGGAAATATAGATATAAAACACAGCAAAATCAAGTTTTTGACTGCACTGGGCCTTTTCATTTATTTAATGTCAACATATTTCATATTTACATGTTTTCAACATTTACTTACTTAATTACACTAGGTTTAATGTAACTTAACTTAAGAACAAGATAATTGCTATTTCATATGTGTTCTGGCTCTGGCCTTTGCTAGCTGCCAGTATGACCTATCACCCACCACTGTAGAGAACATGAACGTATACAATGAACATAGACATAATGTGTACATAGTATACAAGTACACATTTTTACATAAATAGTTATTTGGACTAAGTTGGAGTTGACAAAATAGATCTCTGAGAGTATAATTTATTGGGGTACAGTAATGTGAACAAAAACAAAAGGATATAAATAATCAACCATATAATGTCAAAATATACACAGGAAAATTGTCTCGCAACTCACTGATGTCTCACGCTCTTGTGTCTGTTGCAACACCAATGATAGGTTACCACCTACCAAATTAAAAAGTAAAAGCAAAAAAATATGGAATTTGTCAACAGATGGTTCATATAAATTACCGATCCAGATCTTGATGTAACCGGTACATACAACTTGTAAGGACAAAAAATTACTTGACACAAGCACCTATACTTAGAAGGCATACAAGCAGGAGGTAGAGCGCCATATGTCAAGGGTTGTGTCCGAAATAGAACCCTATTCCCTATATAGTGCACTGTTTGAGCTCTATGGGCCATAAGTTAAACCTATTTCACTACATAGAGAATAGTTTGCCATTTTGGACACACCCAAGGTGTAAACGTCCAGCCTTGTTGTACAACAGATTCAAACATTAATAAAAAACAAAATGGCTGCCCGAGCTGGTGGTTGACCTTCAATTGAAAATGCAATATGAAATCTCTCACGCTTAATCCACAAGCTATTGCACTCTTACAAAGTTTTGGTCGGACAGTGTTTCTGTCACGACGGCCATGGAGCTTTCCTTTGGATAGCTAGGCCCCTTCTGAGTATGGATGGAAGGGTGTATATGGGAGAGTAGGAGGAAAAGGGTGGGAGGTACAGGATTTGAGTTTGGTTTTGGAGGGTGTTGTGTGGATGAGCCCTTTCCTAAATTCAGGGACCAACTTTCCAATGAACCCAAGCACCTTTTGAAAAACAAAACAAAAAACAGACACACTTTCCACATTTATTTGATAAATATTTGTATATACTGCTCTCCTGCGGCCATCTTACTCTAAGTTGACCTAGTTTCCTATGGATTGAGTTCTTCCGCAGAAGACTGCCATCGATTGAACAGGGCGTTTGTCACCATGTGGGGGAGTAGACCTGACCAACTCCGCTTGGGCTTACATTCTCTTTGGTTTGGGGAGCAGACATTTTGGCTTGCTTATGGCATGCTTGATTTTTCATAGTTCATATTTTGGACAGGCAGGCTGGTGATAGATGACCTCACAGAAAGCAGACAGGTCCCACCTCGAGGTGGCGCAGGTGATTGAGCTGTGACGATGGTGGTTCCTGTATGTCTACGATAGGGAGCTCGTAGCTGTCCTGAGTATGGAAGAAGAAATGTGACTGGTGCCAGCTGCCATCCTGGATCTAGAAGGGAAAATATACAATATGAAGCAATTGACACACAATGGTTAATGCTGATCTAGGATCCGTTTTGCCTTTTAGATTATAATGAATAAGATTACATGGTCAGGGAGGACCTGATCTTAGATCAGCAATGCTACTTTGAGATGCTTTATGAATACACATCCAGTTCTGAAGCGAAATAAACGTATATCTCTTCCTCCCTCGGGCTCCTTACCTTGCACTCGTCTAGTAGAGGTGCAAGTAGTGTGTCTGCCTCAAACATCTGGCCGTTCCATCCCCTGAACCTCGGTGGTCTATCCTGGTACTCCTGTCCTGGGCCGTTAGCGCTGTAGGTGTCTGTGGGGCTGAAAGGCGGCTCACTCAGACAGTGGAAGGTGATATCTTGAGAGACCTCTGTGCTCAGGAGATGGAGGAACTTCATTTGGACCTTATGTACATCGAACGACAGCTGTGGGGCAAGCAAAAGAAGGTTAGGGGGGAGAATGGACGGGAAGTATCTGTTAATGTATCTCTCTCTGTTCCTCGTTTACAATTCCATTTTACAAAAAGGAATATTCCAGTCAGTGTTATTAAGTGCAGGGTTCTTGCTGCAAGCACAATGAGTCAAACATTTGGCTGTAATAGAAGAACACTTAGTGATTAAACTGTTTCTTTCCATTCATCTAAGCCTCTGTAATGGGTTTCAAGAGAGAAAAGTTTTGATAACTACTGCTGTGTGGGGCTGACTTTTATTAACGGAAACAGCATTCTGATATGATGCAAGACATTGGTATGTATGACCTATGATGACCATTGGTGCACATCAAGCAGTGTGTCAGCTCAGCTTTCCAAAATTATTCCGAAAATCTACTGCGTCTGGGGAGCAATTATCATATCGAGTGTACAGAAAAAAGAATGTCCAAAATTTCATTAACTCTCAATGATTCTTTCATCACACACAGACACACAGTAACGGAGGCTGCCCTAGCGGTGGAGGTTTCAGTGAGGAGGCAGACACTTCGATACAGCGCAAACTCAGAATGAGGGTGTTTATTTACAGTGGTGAGGTGATGCCGACGGAAACTGTACACATCCTGGCAACTTTGAGATAAAAAACACTTTATATTGGAGTTGTGCTTGTTGTTCACACGCGTATCTGCCCTCTCATTGGCTTGAATGGTCCCACCTGATCTTGCCTCCCCCGACTATCTTCCATTTTTGAAGACATTTATTTTCATTGTTAGAGCGGCCACTTGAGTATCTGGTCGATATAATGGATAATCTGTGGTTTGACCTACCTCCCGTTGCAGCAGAAGCATGACAGAGGAACAAACAATTCACCTCTTCCACTATGAGGATTACATGTAGGCTACGTTTGCAAACCGTTTTAAACTTTATGTAACCCTCCCACCAGGCTCGAATTTGACTCTCACGACATTACCTTACTTAGAATATGTGAACAGCATGGGATATTAGGTGAGAAGGACATCTCCAATAAGAATCCCTATAGTAAACTCACTAGGGTGAATGACAAATAGGGTATTAACTTCAGATAAAATTATTATAGACATGGTTATTATTATAAGGATATGCTTTCCCATGCATTAAATGAAACTGAAACAGTAAATGACTCCACCAATACAACAGACATAAGGTTCAAGATCTATATTATCACATTTTCAATGTACCACATCAAAAGAAATACAAATAATAAACTCCAATGATTTCTCCACAACCCATGTCCAAATTATTTGCAAGCTTGCTTAAACCATGGGCGCGTGTTGGACCTAAAAAAAAAATGACGACATGCATAAAGTCCACCCCACATTTGTAGTTACTCACTACTCGTAGATAATGCCTCAGCAAAGTAAATGTCTCAGGCCCGGAACCCAGCTGCCGGGTGTCAGGGGTTCCTCCTGCAGGTGGAGCTCTACCTGGCCACTGTACACCCGGTGCCCTCGGGACACGAGAGCGTTTCCGCCCTCATCTCCTGTCTCACGGGCAAGGCGTTGGAATGGGCCAACGCCGAGTGGAGGAGGATAGACGCCACCACCATCTCCTACGCGGAGTTCTCCCGTCGCTTCAAGGCCGTGTTCGACCATCCACCTGAGGGCAAAGCGGCGGGGGAGCGTCTATTCTACCTCCGACAGGGGAGGAGGAGCGCACAGGCGTTCGCACTGGAGTTCCGGACTCTAGTGGCAGATGCAGGGTGGAATGAACGGGCCCTCATCGACCATTTTCGATGTAGCCTACGGGAGGACGTTCAACGTGAGTTGGCCTGCAGGGACACCAATTTCACCTTCGACCAGTTGGTCGACATGTCCATCCGTCTGGACACCCTGCTGGCCACCCGTGGACGTTCCGAGTGGGGTCCGTCCATTCCATCCTCCGGCACCTCCGAGGGGTGCTGGCGCTAGAGAAAGGAGGAGAAGGAGCCCGAGGGAGGCTGTCCCCTGCACCAACTGCGGCCGTGGAGAGCACACTGCGGCCAGGTGCTGGGGAGGGTCTCCAGGAGGAGGGGACAACAGGCCACGCACTGGGGAGCATTCCCAGGTGAGTAGACGCCCCACTCACCCAGAGCTCTCTGTTGTGCACTTTTGTATACCTGTTAGTTTTCCACAGGTTGCACCTCATTCCCAGCATAAGGCGCTAGTAGATTCAGGCGCAGCTGGGAATTTTGTTGACCGAAAGTTTTGTTTAGATTTAGGGATTCCCCTCCTGCCTGTCGACGATCCTTTTCCCGTTCATGCTTTAGATAGCCGCCCGTTGGGGTCGGGGTTGATTAGGGAAGTCACAGCGCCACTTAGGATGTGTACGCAGGGGGGTCATGAGGAGACTATTCAGCTATGTCTGATCGACTCTCCTGCGTACCCGGTGGTGCTGGGAATTCCCTGGTTAAGTACCCATAACCCTGCCATTTCGTGGCAACAGAGAGCTCTTAAGGAGTGGTCTGCTCAGTGTGAGGGGCGATGTCTGGGTGTTTCCGTGGGGGCGACCTCGGTGGAAAGTCCAAACCAAGTGCCCGCATTGCACATTCCACCTGAATATGGGGATTTGGCACTTGTGTTCAGTAAGGCGAGGGCGACGCAGTTGCCTCCTCACAGACAGGGGGATTGTGCGATAGACCTCCAGGCAGGAGCAGTGCTCCCACGGAGGCACGTGTATCCTTTGTCTCAAGAGGAGAGAAAGGCTATGGAGACTTACATAGCCGAATCTTTGAGACAGGGATACATACGGCCCTCCACTTCCCCTGCGTCCTCAAGCTTCTTTTTTGTGAAGAAAAAGGATTGAGGGTTGCGCCCGTGCATTGATTACCGTGGTCTCAATCAGATTACTGTGAAATACAGTTATCCACTCCCTCTGATTGCGACTATGACGGAGTCATTGCACGGAGCGCGTTTCTTCACAAAACTGGATCTCAGGAGCGCATATAACTTGGTGCGCATTAGGGAGGGCGATGAATGGAAAACAGCCTTTAGTACCACCTCGGGTCATTACGAGTATCTCGTCATGCCATACGGGTTGATGAACGCTCCTTCGGTCTTCCAATAATTCGTGGATGAGATCTTCCGGGACATACAGGGGCAAGGTGTGGTCGTGTACATTGATGACATTCTGGTGTACTCTCCTACCCGAGCCGAGCATGTAGCCCTGGTGCGTCGAGTGTTGAGTATGTCAAGGCAGAGAAATGTCTGTTTTTCCAGGAGTCGTCTCCTTTTTGAGTTATCGGTTGTCCGCGTCAGGGGTGAAGATGGAGGTGGACCGTGTGTCAGCCGTGCGTAATTGGCAAACCCCAACCACTGTTAAAGAGGTGCAGCAGTTTTTGGGCTTTGCGAATTACTACCGGAGGTTTATCCGGGGTTTTGGACAGGTGGCAGCTCCCATCACGTCTCTTCTGAAGGGGGGTCCGGTGCGCTTGGCAGTGGTCAGCTGAGGCGGACAGGGCTTTTGGGAAACTGAAGGGCCTGTTTACTTCGGCTCCGGTGCTGGCGCATCCGGATCCCGCCTTACCATTTCAGGTAGAGGTGGACGCGTCTGAGGCCGGTATAGGGGCTGTTCTATCTCAACGGTCTGGCACGCCACCTAAACTCCGCCCCTGTGCTTTTTACTCTAAAAAGCTCAGCCCGGCGGAGCGAAATTATGACGTAGGGGACAGGGAGCTGTTAGCCGTGGTACAGGCCCTAAAGGTGTGGAGGCATTGGCTTGAGGAGGCTCAACACCCTTTCCTCATTTTGACTGACCATCGGAACCTGGAGTACATCCGGGCAGCTAGGAGACTGAACCCTCGCCAGGCTCGGTGGAACATGTTTCTAGCCAGGTTCGTATTTAAGATCACGTACATCCCTGGGTCCCAGAACGGTAAGGCAGACGCCCTGTCCCGGCGGTATGATACAGAGGAGAGGTCCGTTGAGCCCACTTCCATACTACCGGAGTCTTGTCTAGTGGCACCGGTTGTATGGGAGGTCGATGCTGAAATCGAGCGGGCGTTGCGTTCCGACCCTAGCCCTCCAAAGTGTCCTGTGGGTCGGACGTACGTTCCGCTCGAGGTTTGGGATCGACTCATTTATTGGGCTCACACGTCACCCTCCTCTGGACATCCTGGTATTGGCCGGACAGTGCACTGTCTTAGTGCTAAGTACTGGTGGCCCACGTTAGCCAGGGATGTGAGGGTTTATGTCTCCTCCTGCTCGGTGTGTGCCCAGTGTAAGGCGCCTAGACATCTGCCTAGGGGTAAGTTACAACCCCTGCCCGTTCCACAACGACCATGGTCTCACCTCTCGGTGGACTTCATCACTGACCTTCCCCCCTCGCAGGGGAATACCACTATACTGGTCGTTGTGGACCGGTTCTCTAAGGCCTGTCGTTTGCTCCCTATGCCGGGCCTTCCTACTGCCCTACAGACCGCCGAAGCGCTATTCACACACGTTTTCCGGCACTACGGGGTACCCAAGGATATTGTGTCTGATCGAGGTCCCCAGTTCACCTCCAGAGTCTGGAGAGCATTTATGGAGCGTTTGGGGGTCTCGGTGAGCCTTACCTCGGGTTACCATCCTGAGAGTAATGGGCAGGTGGAACAAGTGAACCAGGATGTGGGTAGGTTTCTTAGATCATACTGCCAGGGCCGGCCGGAGGAGTGGGCACGGTATGTTCCTTGGGCAGAAATGGCCCAGAATTCCCTACGCCACTCCTCAACTAACCTAACCCCTTTCCAATGTGTGTTAGGTTACCAGCCGGTTCTGGCACCATGGCAGCAGAGCCAGATCGAGGCTCCTGCGGTGGATGAGTGGGTGCGGCGCTCGGAGGAGACGTGGAACGCTGCACACGTCCATCTGCAGCGGGCCATCCGTCGTCAAAAGGCGAGCGCCGATCTCCACCGCAGTGAGGGGACGGTGTACGCACCTGGTGATCGAGTCTGGCTCTCTACCAGAAACCTGCCCCTCCGCCTGCCCTGCCGGAAGCTGGGTCGGCGGTTTGTGGGGCCGTTTAAAGTCCTGAGAAGATTGAGGTGGTGTGTTACAGATTACAACTGCCTATTGAGTATAAGAATATTAACCCCTCGTTCCATGTGTCTCTTCTCAGGCCGGTGGTAGCTGGTCCACTCCAGGAAGATGAGATCAGAGAGACTCCTCCACCCCCATTGGACATAGATGGGGCACCGGCGTACACTGTGCGGTCCATCTTGGATTCGAGACGTCGGATGGGGGGTCTCCAATATCTCGTGGAGTGGGAGGGGTACGGCCCGGAGGAGCGGTGCTGGGTGCCGAGGAGGGACATCCTAGACCCGTCTCTTCTGACTGAGTTCCATCCGCGTCCTCCTGGTCGTCCTCGAGGCCGGGGTCGGCGCACGGCTGGGGCCGCGCGTCAAGGGGGGGGGGTACTGTCACGGTTTCGGCCGAGGCTGCTCCTCCTCCTTGTTCGGGCAGGCTTCGGCGGTCGTCGTCTCCGGAGTACTAGCTGCCACCGTTCTTTGTTTTCTATGTTTGATTGGTTTGGTCTGTTTAGTACACCTGTTCATGTTTAGTGTTGATTATGTGTCCTATAAGTTCTCGTGGTTTCTGTCATGTGTTGTGTGTAATTGTTTTCCTGTCGTTTTGATGCAGTGCTGTTTGCCAGTCGCTCTTTGTTTACCGACGCACTAGTGTTTTGTGCGCAGTTTCGGTTTTGGAGTGTTTCACGCACTGTGGCATATTTCGCCTCCGGGTTGTTTGACCCGTGTTGTTGTTTTGGTATTTCTAGTAAAGTCTGGATTGACTTAGCTCCTGTGTCCTGCAATTGATTCGCACCACATCCGCATCAGAGAACGTGACAGTAAAGCAGTTCCGTGCAGGTGTCCTCACAAGATCCACAGCTATCAATGCAGCCAGTACTCCGTAGCAGCAACAGACATCCCGTGGAAACCCGAACTCGTCGATCGTCACAAGCAATTCTCTCCAAGTCTTGTACGATGATAGGCTAACCTCGAGGATGTCGAATGTCACCACAATGCGAAGGCAGCTTCAGTCTCCACTAGGTTTTTCTTAACAACATAATAACACTCTCTTATAGAAAATTTCCCTTAAAAACTCTGTAGATATGTTTTTGTTCTCTCTTTATCATTCCCTTTAGTCATTTTTCTTCACCAACACAGATAACGTCTCTCCTCTCTTTTCTTTGAACCTTTCCCTCCTTTTTCCCCCCCAGCAAACAGTCAACTCTCCCATTGGCCACAACTTAACAAGCAACCTCATTGGTCAGAACTTTAACAAGATACGTGGGAAACTTAAACTTAAAAGTAAACCAACCTATTCACTTGTACATTAAATAAACATTGCTTCAAAAGAAATGCATTAACAACATTACAAATCAGGAGCAATTCGATCACCTTTTAAATCTAATACCAATTAATTACAACAAATAAACTCTATACTTGGTTTTAGCAAGGGTATTACATTTACATAGCGATTACCGAAACCTCACTTGAATAGTAACACTGACAAGAAAAGGCATAAGAAACAGTAAATTCAGTGCAACAAATGATTGCCGCCAAAACCAAATGAATTGCCGGCAAACTATCAACCTGCGTTTCTCTCTTTTCCAGGCTACATCAGCAGCACCGAAGGACAAGGCATCATACACATATTATGTTCAGTAAAGGAATGTGCATTTCATAAACCCATAAACCGTTTCCATGTGTGGTTTAATATATAAACACACATACAGTGAGGGAAAAAATAATTTGATCCCATGCTGATTTTGTACGTTTGCCCACTGACAAAGACATGATCAATGTATAATTTTAATGGTAGGTTTATTTGAACAGTGAGGGACAAAATAGCAACAAAAAAATCAAGAAAAACGCATGTCAAAAATGTTATAAATTGATTTGCATTTTAATGAGGGAAATAAGTATTTGACCCCTCTGCAAAACATGACTTAGTACTTGGTGGCAAAACCCTTGTTGGCAATCACAGAGGTCAGACGTTTCTTGTAGTTGGCCACCAGGTTTGCACACATCTCAGGAGGGATTTTGTCCCACTACTCTTTGCAGATCTTCTCCAAGTCATTAAGGTTTCGTGCCTGACGTTTGGCAACTCGAACCTTCAGCTCCCTCCACAGATTTTCTATGGGATTAAGGTTTGGAGACTGGCTAGGCCACTCCAGGACCTTAATGTGCTTCTTCTTGAGCCACTCCTTTGTTGCCTTGGCTGTGTGTTTTGGGTCATTGTCATGCTGGAACACCCATCCACGACCCATTTTCAATGCCCTGGCTGAGGGAAGGAGGTTCTCACCCAAGATTTGACGTCCATCGTCCCTTTGATGCGGTGAAGTTGTCCTGTCCCCTTAGAAGAAAAACACCCCAAAAGCATAATGTTTCCACCTCCATGTTTGACAGTGGGGATGGTGTTCTTGGGGCCATAGGCAGCATTCCTCCTCCTCCAAACATGGCGAGTTGAGTAGATGCCAAAGAGCTCGATTTTGGTCTCATCTGACCACAACACTTTCACCCAGTTCTCCTCTGAATCATTCAGATGTTCATTGGCAAACTTCAGACGGGCCTGTATATGTGCTTTCTTGAGCAGGGGGACCTTGCGGGCGCTGCAGGATTTCAGTCCTTCACGGCGTAGTGTGTTACCAATTGTGTTCTTGGTGACTATGGTCCCAGCTGCCTTGAGATCATTTACAAGATCCTCCCGTGTAGTTCTGGGCTGATTCCTCACCGTTTTCATGATTATTGCAACTCCACGAGGTGAGATCTTGCATTGAGCCCCAGGCCGAGGGAGATTGACAGTTCTTTTGTGTTTCTCCCGTTTGCATAATCGCACCAACTATTGTCACCTTCTCACCAAGCTGCTTGGCGATGGTCTTGTAGTAATTCCAGCCTTGTGTAGGTCTACAATCTTGTCCCTCACATCCTTGGAGAGCTCTTTGGTCTTGGCCATGGTGGAGAGTTTGGAATCTGATTGATTGATTGCTTCTGTGGACGGGTGTCTTTTATACAGGTAACAAACTGAGATTAGGAGCACTCCCTTTAAGAGTGTGCTCCTAATCTCAGCTCGTTACCTGTATAAAAGACACCTGGGAGACAGAAATCTTTCTGATTGAGAGGGGGTCAAATACTTATTTCCCTCATTAAAATGCAAATCAATTTATAACATTTTTGACATGCGTTTTTCTGGATTTTTTTGTTGTTATTCTGTCTCTAACTGTTCAAATATACCTACCATTAAAATTATAGACTGATAATTTCTTTGTCAGTGGGCAAACGTACAAAATCAGCAGGGGATCAAATACTTTTTTCCCTCACTGTAAATACTCACACACACCACAGAGTGTCAACATCAATGTGTGTCTGTGCAGATGTGACAGGAATCAAGGAAACGGTGATGGTTCCAGCTGGAAATTCATGGCCATTTCGCATAAAAGTGGCAATAACCATTTACTAAAAACCTTTGTACAATACTTCTGAAGTTTGCAGAGGGAAGGAAGGACCGATGTTTTAGTGAAAATTCGACTTAAGTGGAAGTTACGAATTGCCACCATGCCTCTGTGGTTGTGCCATCGCAACCAGGCACATGTAAATGTTTTAAACTTTAAACCTAGATAAAATCTGTTTATTGAATTAATACTGCTATGGATCTGCTGGAGGACCTGTGATGATGGATTGCAGTTCTGGAGTGCAGTGCTAGGTTACCTTATTAGAGGCCACTGGGTGGAGACATGTCTGCCCGCCTGCAGTGAAATTACAAAAGACCTCAATGGCGTCTGACTGGCATCCCAGGTTAGGGTCGATCCAGAACAGTCCTAAAGGCACCGCAACATCCAACCCCAGAGAGAAAGAACACAGTCATATTTCACAATGATTCCTTGCTCATTTCCCCTACAAATAACATATACATACTATTCTACTAAGTAGAAGTAAGTCTGAAGATTATTAATAGAATATTGATTAATGTAGATTGGGACAAAATGTCCATTGCATCTGGATAAATTCTGTGAAGCAGTTTTATGAAGTTGTCACCGTCAGAGAGCTTGTGTTGGCAGTCCAACAGGTCCTTACAGAACCGTGCTGGGTTCTCCCGGGTTCCCAATGGTTTCTTCATGCTCTCGATCACACTGCTCAGGTAGCGCAGGGTCTTAAAGATCTCTGCATTGTTGTCTGGGAAGGGCATCTCTGTGTTCTGGTAGGTCTAGGTTAGCAGGGTTCGCATAGTCCACACAGTCCATAGTATTGCAGCAAAGGAAGAGGTTAGAGGACAAAGCCATAGAGACAGCCAAACAAATCATGGACGGAACATGCAGTGGATCAAACATGAATACATTCAGACACATGCATTCCAAGATGGCATAGCAGTGCGGTCATGTTTTCTGTAGTGTCCTCATGTAAATAGCCTGTTTGTTTTTTTGTTTCGTTTTTTAAAAATATATTTCTCAATCTCACTTTCGCTCCTTTAACTAGATATACTTTCCTGCAACCCGCCTCACCCAATGTGGAATGGATTCTATTATTTCTTCATACATTTTTATCCAGAACCTCTGGCTGAAACTAGCCAGCTAGCCAGCTAACTAGCTACTTGCTATTAGCCACCGTTAGCGGTCTTCACCATTGTCCGTGGCCGTGGCCTGCACTACCTACCAGCCAGCTCTAGCCTGGACAATTATCGAGCCAGAGCATATCGGAATTTCTGCCGGAATCACTGAATCACTGGACCTTAACACCAGATCATCGCAACTAGCTAGCTGCAACCGAATGGCTGTTGTCGTTGTTGGCTAATCACCACTGTCCTGAAGCTAACCCCAGTTAGCCTTGAGCTAGCCTCGAGCCAGGCCCATCTCCCGGCTATCTACCTCTCTGTCAACCGGACGGGACCTCCTAGTGTTGACACGGAGCCCCGCCGATCCATCACGACTGGTCTGTCGACGTAATCGTCTGATGTGGTTTCAACAGGCTTCCCGTTGTGACGACCACAAGATCCATCTGCTAGCCTCGGCCCGCTAGCACACGCAATCAACAGCCGTGCCTCCAGCTCGCCTGTAGTGTAGCAGCCACTGAACTGCTCCCGGACTTACTTGTTGCTGTTCACTGGACCTTATGATCACTCAGCTTCACAGCCGATGCCTGCTGGACTGTTCCTTTTTACGGTACCCTATCCTGTTTAGCCTCAGCTCAAACTTTCGTCGCCATTACCAGCTGTTGCCTTAGCTCTCTCGAATAACACCTGTGACTGCTTTATGCCTCTCTCCCATGTCAATATGCCTTGCCTATTGCTGTTTCGGTTAGTTCTAACTGTACTTTTTCAATGTAGAACCCCCAGCCCTGCTCAACCTATCTCAGATAGCTCCTTTGTCCCACCCCCCACACATGCGGAGACCGGCTCAATCGGTGCCTCCAGTGATGCTATCTCTTTCATCTTTACCCAACGCTTAGGTTTACCTCCACTGTACTCATATCCTTCCATATCCTTGTCTGTACATAATGCCCTGAATATATTCTACAATGCCCGGAAATCTGCCCATTTTTTCTCTGTACCCAACGCATTAGAAGACCAGTTCTTAAAGCCTTTAGCCGTATCCTTATTCTACTTCTCCTCTGTTCCTCTGGTGATGTAGAGGTTTAACCCAGGCCCTGTAGCCCCCAGTATCACTCTTGCTCCCCAGGCGCTATCATTTGTTGACTTCTGTAACCGCAAAAGCCTTGGTTTCTTGCATGTTAACATCAGAAGCCTCCTCCCTAAGTTTGAGTTATTCACTGCTTTAGCACACTCCGCCAACCCTGATGTTCTAGCAGTGTCTGAATCCTGGCTAATGAAGGCCACTAAAGATTCTGAAATTTCCATTCCCAACTACAACATTTTCCGTCTAGATAGAACTGCCAAAGGGGGCGGAGTTGCAATCTACTGTAGAGATAGCCTGCAGAGCTCTATCATACTATCCAGGTCTGTGCCCAAACAGTTTGAGCTTCTACTTCTAAAAATCCACCTTTCCAGAAATAAGTCTCTCACTGTTGCCGCTTGCTACAGACCCCCCTCAGCCCCTAGCTGTGCCCTGAACACCATATGTGAATTGATTGCCCCCCCCATCTATCATCAGAGTTCGAATTGCTTGATGACCTAAACTGGGATATGCTTAACACCCCGGCCGTCCTACAATCTAAACTAGATATCCTCAATCTCACAAAAATTATCAAGGAACCTACCAGGTACAACCCTAAATCCGTTAACATGGGCACCCTCATAGATATCATCCTGACTAATTTACCCTCTAAATCAGGGGTGTCAAACTCATTTTAGCTCAGGGGCCACATGGAGAAAAATCTATTCCCAAGTGGGCCGGACCGGAAAAATCATGGTATATATAACTTAAAAACAACAACTTCAGATTGTTTTCTTTGTTTTAATACGATCAACATACAACATAAAGCTGGAGCCTGAGGACAGTGTGTCCAAAATAGTACAAGCACAACATCACTATTAATCATAAAACACGTCAAGTTTATTTGAAAATTCTAAAGAAAAAGAACACACAAACACACAATGCCTCAGTGATTAACAGAACTGTTTCACAGATCACAGAACTATATCAGGGTGTCATTTCTCAGGCAGAAATGTAGATAAAAATAATGAAATCCTGTTCCCCAAACAAGTGCAAGAACCACAGAGTCAAGAATATGTTAAATATACAAATAAAATAAAATCAATTAAAAACAATAGCACATCAACATAAAAACATATAAACATAAATCTGAAAGCGTTGCTCAAACTCCCGTAACAGTCCCGTTATTTTATCTTTGAACCGCTTCATGTCTGCCACATGTTGGGTCGCGCACACATTTTTCAGACAGGGGAAGTGAGCTGCATCACCACCGGCAAGTTGCGTCTCCCACAATGACAGCTTCAACTTGAAAGAACGTATGCTGTCATAATACTGCGTGACAACTTTGTTGCGACCTTGCAGCTGTTTGTTCAAGTTATTCAGGTGCTCTGTAACATCCACCATAAATGCAAGGTCCTGCATCCATTCTGCGGAATGAAATTCTAACACTGGTTTGCCCTTTTCTTCCATGAACTGTTCAATTTCTTCTCGTAAATCAAAGAAACGCCTCAGCACAGCACCTCGGCTTAACCATCTTACCTCAGTGTGGTATGGCAGGCCATAGATGTGGTCTTTCTCTCTGAGAAGGCTGTCAAACTGACGGTGATTCAGGCTTCTGGATCTGATGAAATTAACAGTTTGGATGACCACCTTCATGACGTTATCCATCTTTAATGACTTGCAACACAAAGCCTCCTGGTGCAAAATACAGTGAAAAGTCAAAAAATCACGTCCTCCATTTGCAGATTGCACTTTCTCTCTGAACTTTGTCACAACGCCTGCTTTTTTCCCGATCATTGAGGGCGCACCATCTGTAGCCAGGCTGACAGCGCGGGACCAGTCCACTCCGACCCTGTCCAGCGCGCCGACGAGTGCGGTAAAAATATCAGCTGCTGTCGTTGTATCTGTCATCGGCACCAACTCCACGAACTCCTCGGTGACGGTCAATGTGTCATCAACTCCGCGGATGAAAATGGCCAGTTGTGCAACATCTGTAATGTCCGTGCTTTCAAAAATTGCAACCGAAAACGCAATAAATGACTTTACTTTTTGCTTCAACTGGCTGTCCAAATCCACTGAAAGATCGGAAATCCTGTCTGCAACTGTGTTTCTTGTCAGGCTGATATTTGCAAAAGTCTGCCACTTTTCAGGGCACACAATCTCCGCTGCCTTCATCATGCATGTTTTTACAAATTCACCCTCACTAAATGGTTTTGAAGCCACTGCGATTTCATTAGCAATGAGGTAGCTAGCTTTCACTGCAGCGTCACTGATGTCTCGGCTGTGAGTAAACACAGACTGCTGTTTCTTCAGACCCGCCAACAGTTCATTCACCTTCTCTCATCTCCGCTGTCCTTGAAAGTTGTCATATTTGTCGGCATGAAGACTCACATAGTGGCGACGAAGGTTATAATCTTTCAGCACTGCAACATGCTCTGAACACACCAAACATACAGCTTTCCCATTCAATTCCGTGAATAAATAGGATGACCATTTTTCTTGGAACACTCTGCACTCTGCGTCCACTTTTCTCTTTTTTGACAGAGACATATTGGGGCAATGAGGGTGCCAAAGCACATAATGTTAAAAGTAGAAGCCGTAATAAATATCGCGGGCAAAACAAAGTAGCTCATTGGCTGCACGTGCTTGACCTATTTGCTCTACCCCGGTATAAACAGTTTGCTTGCTTAACACAATTGCTATTGCGCCATCCAGTGGACGCAATTGGAACAGCAGTTTATTTTATAGAAAAATTGCAGCGCATTTTTATACTTTACAAAAAAAAAAAACAAAAAAAAATCTTCTTTTTTTTTTTTTTATCATCTCGCGGGCCGGATTAAACCCGTTTGCGGGCCTGTTCCGGCCCGCGGGCCGTACGTTTGACACCCCTGCTCTAAATACACCTCCGCTGTCTTCAACCAAGATCTCAGCGATCACTGCCTCATTGCCTGCGTCCGTAATGGGTCTGCGGTCAAACAACCACCCCTCATCACTGTCAAACGCTCCCTAAACACTTCAGCGAGCAGGCCTTTCTAATTGACCTGGCCCGGGTATCCTGGATGGATATTGACCTCAGTATGAAAAAGTATGAAAATGTATGTACTCATTAACTGTAAGTCGCTCTGGATAAGAGCATCTGCTAAATGACTAAAATGTCAATGTAATTCCGTCAGTAGAGGATGACTGGTTGTTCTTTAAAAGTGCTTTCCTCTCCATCTTAAATAAGCAAAATTCAGAACTAAGAACAGATATAGCCCCTGGTTCACCCCAGACTTGACAGCCCTTGACCAGCACAAAAACATCCTGTGGCGTACTGCATTAGCATTGAACAGCCCCCACGATATGCAACTTTTCAGGGAAGTCAGGAACCAATATACACAATCAGTTAGGAAAGCAAAGGCTAACCTTTTCAAACAGAAATGTACATCCTGTAGCATTAACTACACTGTAAAGTCCATGGAGAATAAGAGCACCTCATCCCAGCTGCCCACTGCACTGAGGCTAGGAAACACTGTCACTACCGATAAATCTACGATAATCAAACATTTCAACAAGCATTTTGCTACGGCTGGCCATGCTT